TATCTTCTGGTTCCGGATGAAGTGTGGCTAAATTGTTCTCGTAAAGATAGTTTCCTATCTGGAAAAAATTGCAGTAAATCGATAAACCATATTTAAAAGCCTGAAAAGCAAATAAGGTCTTTAATGTAGGCTAAATCTAGCGGCAGCTGTGAGGATGTATGTATTTATAGATGCTTCTAACGGTAAAGATGCTTTCTCGAGAGATAGCGGGGAAAATTTGTCAAAAGGGAAAACTAGGAACTCTATTCCATAAAAAAAAACTGATGACAGCCTAACAAGAGAATTTCATGAGTAATTTTATCAGCTTTGCGCATGATTTGGAGCCCTGCTCTGGGTGAGTAGCATGGCACCGCGGACTTAAACTGCCCATGCAACATTTTATAACCTTATTTGAAACTACCTTGTAAGAACGAGGTTGATTTCCTGTTTTGTTCAGTTACACAACTAAATGCTCTAAGTTCAAGCAAACGAATCACTAGTAATCTTTCCCTGGTTTCAATATTAACATCACCCTTACTAGACTTACTTCAAGATTCTGCCAGTTTGCTCAACTTCTAATATCTGACAGAACGAAAACTCACATCTATAGCTATGTGTACGGATAGCTCTCGTATGTCCTTCAGTCGTGGATACAATCTCGCGTATTTCTCCAACGACTTCGTTGTAACGGAGCTTGCGCAACGCTGCAAATATCCCTGTTTCCCCAAAAAAACTATTTTATGAGAAAACTCATACCCTAGCAGCGATCAAGAATGCCTTGTTGGGAATATGTTTTGCTTTAAAAACAATAGCTGCCAGTGCAACACCGGGAAAGATGTATGAGTTGTTTCCTTGTCCAGGTTTGTACGTCTTTCCATGCATTATCACATTATCAAACGGAGATCCCGATGCAAATAGAACAGTACCCTGAAAGATACAATTTTTTTTTTTGCAGAAAAGGACCATTTATCTAAAAGAGAGGCATCTATATTGCTAATGTTGATAATTTGAAGGAGCCACTCAAGTGTGCGCTAAGTCACGTCTTCTATTCTAATTTGTGCTTACATCTGTGTGGCGATAGGCATTCTCTGCGGTGCATTCGGCTTTGGTAGTGGGATTAGAAAGAGCAAAAATTATTGGACGCTCATTGATGCTAGCCATCTCTCGAATTATTTCTTCAGTAAACGCTCCGCCAACTGTAGATACTCCTAAAATGATAATCGGTAATTAATACACCATTTTTAAAAGCAAATAGCAAGATTTTAAAAAAACCTACTGTTAACCGAGTTATTCAACGCCACTTTTAAAAAAATTAACGGAATTTGAAACCTAAATTACCTATAAGTGCTTCTGGTTTCACCTGCTGAATGACTTCCAACAGACTTTTTGTTTCGGGCATGTCCTACAACGAAATAGGAAAAAAAGTGTCTATATACGAAGCTGTTAGACAT